AAAGAGTGATAAAATGGAAACAAACCTTTGCAATGAGGAGAGGAAGATTGTTAAAGGGATGGGAGGGTATTAGAAAAAAAAAAAAACAGGAAACAATACACCATGAAGAGGTACAAATTGTCAGCAATGAATGTGATCTTTGTGTGTATTTAAGTTGTACCAGTAAACTTAAAATCAAAATAACAAAATGAACTCAAGACTTCCAAGGCGCCTGGTGGGCAGCCCTAGACGCAGCAGCACAGAGCTCCAGCCTGGGCCCGGCGCCCTCTGCACAGGCCTCAGGAGCTGGGATCTGCACCCAGCTCGCGCAGGGGTGCCTGCTGGCGGGGTGGGGCGCAGCGATTGCACCTTTCCTTCGTGACCCACCCTGGCTTCTTAGCTTTTTTATTTTCTAACTCATGTCTGCAGAAGTCAGCTCACACCTTGACCCGGCTGCCCTCCCTCAGGCGCACGGTTCTCAGCTGGACCCTGTGACCACTCCCCCTGCCTGTCCGGTCCCAGGACTGAGAGAGGACAGGGCGCTCCTGGAGGAGCCTGGGCGGGTCCTGGAGGTGTGCCCTTGGGGTCTGGCTCTGTTCCCCCTCCCTCAGGACGCTCCCCTGTCCTGCTTGCCCCTGACCTGAAGGAACTACTGTCCTCCTCCACCGCCCTCACCTCCACTTTTCCTCCTTGCAGCCCGCTGACCGCGCACTGAGTCCCCCCGCCCGCAGCAGAAGGAGACCTCTCCTCCTGGCGGCTGTGGGTGTCGGGTATTGTGCCAGCCAGGAAAACGCTGCCGAGGTGTACACCGCCCGGGCCTCAGTGCCCTGGAGCACTTGTTAAACGTATAGATTCCCCCCCCCCCGCCAGCCCACCCCAGAAGTGTGCATCAGAGCGGGCAAAGCGTGGCATGGGGCTCCGGCACCCTTCAGCGCCCCTGCCCTGCCCTGCCCTGCCCTGGGGAAGCGCGGTGTGAACCGTGGGACGAAGGCCAGCCTCTCTGCCCCCGCCTGCCCCTCTTTGAACCTTTCCACAGTGAGGGCCACGCAGCAGGAAAGCAGGGATCTGCAGTCCACGGAGGACACGCAGAGCCTTGGTAACGCTGCGTGACAAGTGCCAGGCTGCTGGCACCGCCCACCAGTTGTGGACCACAGCAGAGGGCAGGTGCAGTGGACAGTGCACCGGGCCACAGGTTTCCGTGGAGCCCTGCGATCGCGACCTCCAGGTCCAGCGCTCTGAGCAGCCTCATCTCGGTGACAGCCGAGTGTGCGGCTGGGAGCTGAGGCCGAGGCTCAGCCCTCTCCTCTCTGGGCTCCTCCGGTGCAGAAAGTGCACCCCGCGGGGTCCAGCCGCACAGCGAGGCTGACCTGACCTTGCTGGAGCCCTGCGAGCCGGCTTGTGCCCAGGGACGTCACCGTGGCTCTCAGTTTCATCCACTTATTAGTGTTCAGGGAGTTGGGTGTGCAGAAAGCGGCCAGAGGCACCGGCGGATGGCTTCACGCTCATGGTGACAGTGCTCTGTGCCACGCATGGCACAGCACGGCCACAGCAGGTTCTGTCCAGTAAAAACGCACGGTGCATCCTCATCCTCCTCCTTCACGGCCCCTCCCCGGAGCCAGAATGACCAGGAAGGGCCAGCGTGTTTCACCAGTGCGGGACACTGAGGCAGCCCACGCAGCACAACTAGAGACACCTATGAAAGAGGATTCCCGAGCTGCTTCAGAATGTGGAAGAGCCTGTTGGAAACGAGTACGTGTGTTCTGAGAGAGATTAACAGCAACGTGACTTGTATGGTCATCATTTTGTAAAAATCTGTAAACCTTCACTGTAGTTTTTGATCACACCTAGTATGCCTTCAGGGTGAAGATGTACTGTTGTTTAAGGACAGCCTTCTGTGCATGACAAGTGAACAAACAAAAAAACCTACATATTTGGGTAAATTTCACTAATATCAAATGTAAAAATATCTGTTCTATAATTGAGAAAACTGGCAATATACGTTTTCCCAGTTGCTAAGTTACTTATACTAATAGTTACCTTTAAAAATACACAGATATGCCATGAGATTTAAACACTTAGTCATTCTTGTAACTTTCTTCTTTTTTCAAGTTGTGGGTATTTCCGCCAACAGGGAAATACACAGGCAGGTGATATGGTATTTGGGCCACCATCTTCAAATGATCTGGCGTAAGAACATTTCAAAAAGGATTCAGAGGCCAAGAAACGTTTTAAGGGACTCAAATTCTGGATATGCATTTTCTGTTTGCATTCTTTGCAACTACTCTGCCGGGGGTCACACCTTTTCCAGCTCCTTTCACCAGCTCTTTCCCGCTGTCTCACATTTTAAAGAAGGAAGGCGCCCTGACCCTGATCTGATGTCTGTACCCAGGATAGAAGAACGTTTAGATCCCACCGGGGTGGGCAGAAACCCGGTACAGTGACGTAACAAATCCCTTTCCAGTTAGAAGCTTTCCTAGTTTGATTTCAATAAAATTGTAGGAAACTCTGATTCAACTAACAAATTATTAAAAATACATTTTGATACTACTTTTGTGCTAACATTCTTTGCATGATTCTGGCAGAATGCAAAAAATTGACAGCATTTCTTCTGATTCCATTTCCTTACTTATGCAGACAAAATTCTCAGTATTTCCAGAATAAGAAAAGCTAGTGGGATACAACTGAGGTGAACCACATCTCAACTTACCTGTAAATATATATACATATATATATATATATTTGGAACAGGGTCTTGCTATGTAGTTCAAGCTGACCTTAAATTTGCTTATATAGCCCAGGCTGGCCTCAAACTCATGGCAGACCTCCTGCCTCAGCTTCCAAGTACTGTGATTTTAGGCACACACTACCACACCTGGTGCATGCTGTTGTGTAATTTTTATTTGCAGATATTTGACCCAATTTTCATAAAACCAGGCGGTCCCCATCCAGCACATTAGAGAAACATTAAAAATAGTTTACTTTACTTTTTCTGTTTAATATAAATTATCAAAATGTATATTTTCATGTTGTTTTTACCAATGGATGCCAATAATTGAAATGATAATTCAATTTAGAATAATTTTTAAAAATAGTTTCATAGTCCCAGGAATTAAGCATATATAATTTTGAAAATTTATAATTTTATTATAAGATAATTGATTCAAAGACTTAGAAAAGAAATCAATAAACTGTAAGTGTTGGTGGAAGTGAAAAAGAAATATGAATTCAGGGGCAGAAAGGAAATATACAAAATTTTTGCTTACTAAAAGAGAGCTTGCTTGTACGCTGTTTGTTTGTTTGTTTGTTTGTTTTGTTTTAAATAGATGATGTGGCCAGATATTGTGGCACATGGTGTAAACCTAGCACTCAGGAGGCTGAGGCAGGAGGACCGCCGTGAGTTTGGGGCCAGCCTGGGATACAGTGTGTTCCAAGGGCAGCCTAAATTACAGAGCAAGGCCCTGTCTCAAAAAACAAAAAGATGATGTGAAATTTACACTCTATCAGATATATGTTTTAAATTCTATATGTTTTTTAAATGGTAATATTGACAGTATGCCACAAGTTACATCCTTTGCAACTATATTTTAACTTTGGATGAAAGATTTTAAACATCAGCTTAGTAATGGGCAAAAGAAGACAAAGCTTTATAAAATTCTTTTGGAAGCAGTTGCTAGTAAAGAGTTTGCAGAACACTGTTTTGGGAAACTCAGGCCAGAGATCAGGGCATAGAACAGACTAGGAAAGGAAAGGATTGGGGAACCGGGACAGGGCACCAGTGAGAAGACAGCTGATTTTTTCCAGACCTCAAGAATCTGAATCATATTCAGTTCACAGGCATGGAAACGAAGAGGCTGAAACCACAGCTACGAGGAAATAAGAATTATCGGCATCTGATCTGTTTCCTTCCATTTAGGCTTTCAGGATCATCAAAACTGAGTTTCCTAATGTTTTCCGTCTGTATGACATTGAGCTTTCCTTCTTTCCTTCCTCGCAAGTGGAGTTCAATGCAGGGCTTAGGAAACTGTAAAGGTCAAGGTCTTGGCCCAAAGAGCTTCCAGTCTGGCAGAGAATCTGCCTAAGTGGAGGACGATGCCAAGCTGTCCTGCGAGGCCCAGGTGCCCGGCCCCTCTGCCCATGGCAGCGCACTGGAGGAGGGCAGCGGATGCTGCTTCCCATGCTCCTGTGGAGCCTGCGTGTCACCTGACAGCCGACAGTCACAGGAGTGTGGCGCTCTGGACAGCAGAAATGAGGCCGAGGTGTCATTTCTGCAGCTTCCTCTGGCAAGCAGGGTTGGGAACGCTCCAGAGTTTTGGGTGCCAATGTAGCAGAGGCCCTGGTGCCTACTTCTTGTGGGTGCCAGGGACATTCATGTGGCATGGATCTGGGCTGAGACAGTGCCAGGATTCTGCATTTGGGACACTGTCTCTTTATATCACAGCTTTCTCATTACTCAACCATTTTTTTCTTTCCCTCCCCCCTACTTGCTTTTTCTATTGTCCTGTTTGTAAAATTTTTTATTTATTTTTGAGACATGGTCTCACTAGATAGCCTAGACTGGTCTTACACTTGTGAACCTTCTGCCTCAGCCTCCCGAGGGATGAGATAAGGGGCATACACCACCAAACCCAGCCTATTCCTGCATTTTCCTATCCTGGCACAAACAAGAACTATGTTGACTGGCATTCCTGGTAATCATCCTTGGAAGTTTGGAGCTTGTTTTCCCAACCTTTCCAACAATTTTGTAAATGCTGAATTAATACAAATGCTACTCAACGTATCATCAGGTTACAACTCAAAAAACCCACTGAGGTTGAAAATATCATTAAGTATAAAACGTGTTCAACACACCTCAGCCCCAGCACAGCACAGTTCAGCAACACGGTCTGTTGTGTCACTGTTTATCCTCAGGGCCACATGGTTGGCTCACAACTATGGTTTGCAGCCAGCATTGGAGGAAGTGTCGTATGCGGAAGTGACGTACGAAGTATTCCTTAGCCCAGAAAAAAGACCAAAATTCAAAATTTAAAGTATGATTTTTATTAAGTGCTGATGCTGTCGTGCCATGTTGGTATTGAAAGTCCTAAGTCAAACTGCAGTAAGTTGACATATCACTAAATCAGGGACCCTGAGGACTGAGAATGTAGTTTAGTGGTATGGTGCTTATCCAGCACTCCAGAGGCACTAGGTTCAACTCCCAGTATTACAAAGACAAAAGGCAAACAGAAATTCTGGGATCCAAGTATGAGGAATGCCACCACGTTGTGTGCATTACTGCTATTCCCCACTGTGTCCTTTGATTCTCAGAACTCATCTCTGGCAAAGCTTGTTCTGGTTGGTCCTGTCCTTTGAGGAAACAGAGTCTCTCCTGAACAGTGCTGGCAAGGGCTGCTCATGGAGGTATCTGTATGGCAGCTTCCTTAGTACTGAAACTTTGCATGCTCTGTGCTCTGATTTTCCCTCTGAACCCTGCTCATCCGCAGTGTCCTCCTCTCCTCCTGCATGGTGCATCTCTCTGTAGGTAGATAATTCCTCTTAGAGTACTGATTCTTTTAGTGGGCTTTAGATCCAGTGAGGGACTAATTTAAAAGGCTGACTCCTCAATGAAACCTTGATTCAGTAGGTCTGAGGCGTGGCTGGAAGGCATAGCCCCTTCTGACACCAGGGACGTTGGGCTACTCCTGGACAATGCTCTGATGTCAGTGCCTCAGCACTTTAGTGAGTAGGACAAGGAGTAGGTTCTAGATGCTTCCCACTTCCAGATACTGCAAGAAAGAGCAAAGAGAAAGACAGCCCTAGGTTGTGAGCCTGATGGCTTTAGTTGTGACTATAGCACTGGTTCATGCAGGGAAATTATGAAGGAAAACAGTTTGTGGGGGAAGATAATGAGCTCCATTTGAGGCCTGTTGGGTTTGATGTCCAAGAGGAAATGATATCCAGCGAGCAGTGAGTAAAGTGGACTCTATGACTCAGGTCTGGAGGTTGATTAGTGGGCTGGGTTCTCAGTTCAGACTCAGAGTATCGTTGCTGTGGCTAAATGATTTCTTTAATGTGGTTCAACCACAGTTGACTTGAGGAGGCCACCAATCCATTAGTGTCATTCCCAACACGATGGAGTTAAGTGTATTTTGTATTTTGCATTGTGTGATCTAAGGAGAAAAGTACAATCTACAGTAGAAAATTCAGCATCACAGGTTGCCTCTGAGAGATACTGAGGGCTCAGCTCATTCTCTTAAAGCTCTCTTCTCTTTCCCATCACCGTTCTCTGTCCTCCAGTGCACCCTGAAACACAAGGAAATTACACAAGGAGAAATTATGTACAAATTACACAAGGAAAAATTATGTATGATAAAGGGAAGAGAAGAGAATAAAAGCAAAGGCAAAGCATAATACCATAATTATTTCAGCTGTCCACCAACCAGTTCTGGTTAAATAATGATGTTCCTGGAGTGATCTCTCAGGTCATTGTATAACGATCCTCCAAGCTCTGTTGTTTCCAAAAGTTCTGTTTCTGCTGTCTCTAAACAACTCAAAGGCTTATGATCTCTCTTCAGATGAAATCTTATATAGAAAGAATATTTCATTACTATAACTGTTATATTTGATTGAATTTACATATATGTCATGCTTATTCTTAAGCTTTTTTTTTTATTCTTCTGATGGAATAAAAAAATTTTAACTAGTGGGCTGGGAATGTAGCTCAGCAGTAAGGGGCCTGCTTAGTATGAAGCCCTGAGTTTAATCTCCACCACTGAAAATAAAAGAAAAAGAAAATTGAGCTGGATTACATTAAATGGATGATGGTTATATGTAGGCAGGCAACTTCACTTTCAAATTTGTATTGGTTGTACGGTATTGATAAGATCCTGATATATTCAGAATGGTAGATGCAAATGGAACATTTTTTTAAAAATGTATTTTTTAGTCTTGGGATGCCATAGATAAAGAGACATGGTATGAGAACCTTCATTCTGAAATCTATGCCAAAAGGACTTAACCTTGTCATCAGTTATATTTATTGGATCCTTATCAAGTTCTGGACACCAAGATTATATTTTGAAAAACAACAGACACATAGAATTTACAGCCTGAATTCCATTAAATGTAGATAGACTTTAAGCAAGTGATTATAATTACAAATTGAAAGAAATTCTAAGTATGCTGGGAATGTATAACAGGAGACCTACTCTTGTATAAAAGTGGCCAAAGATGTTGATACCAAGCTATGAATGGTGGTCACCTGAAAGAAAGGGTGAAACAAAGTATTTTGGTAGGTGGGACAGTGTGTGCACAGGCACAGACATGGTCGAGGGACAAAGGCACTGAGTCAGGATGGTTTTTCCCTAGTGACACAGACACCACAGGGAGCTGAGCAAGAGGCTGCGTGCTGCAGGGTGTGTAAGCCCCACACTGGGGTGATTTGCTAAGTATCAGTCAATGTGCCTCTAGTCCTGGCTATGTACTCTTTGATGAGTTTTTATTGGTACAGTAGAGAAGCAAAGGCAGGGGAATTGGCCTTTGTTGTGGGCCCTGGAGGTCAGCAGAAGAGTGCAAGATCCCAGATAAAAAAGTGGGAGGCTTTTATTAGGTTTCATGGGGGTGGAATTTTAAGGGGTGGGCGGAATGACGTATGGACAGCTGATTAGGGGAGTGCATGCACACACACACACACACACACACACACATGCGCAAAAAGCCAGAAATTCAATTTGGGGCTTGGAAGAAGGAGGCGGAAGTCAGTATTGAAGGGACTTGCTGTTGCTCTAGGGCCGAGTACCATGTTGGGCAGGTGCCATGCTGGGTTTCATAGGGGCGGAACCCATCACTCTTCAGGTCTCTTCACTTGGGCTGCAGCAAGAAATAGTCCCCCAAGAGATGGAGATGGAATACTTAGAATTTTCAATCACCTGTTTAATGTCTACCTGCGTTTCATGGAATACAGGCATAAAGAAAGCCAAGAAGAGAAACTTCACAGCCACAGCCTTAAACCAGAGAAGCAGCAGGCTGACACTGGGAAAGTCAGGGGAGCTCATCTGCTGAGCAGAGAAAGAGTGCCGGCCTGTGGGGAGCGCAGAGTTGCTGTGTGTGGAGGTCTCGAGGGTTAGGACCTTATCATTCGGACCTCGTTTAGCCATTTAACCTTAGCTACCTCTTGGAGACCCTAAAACAGCAACATCAGGGGAGCAACATCAACAAACAGTTTTGGGGGAACTCGGTTTGGCACAGAGCCGTATCTTCTCAGGAAACAGCACCTGACTGGCTATGTAGATGAGCTAGAAGGGAGCGGAGACGTGGGCAGAAAAGAGAGCTACTGGCAAAGGTTGACATCACTGGAGGTGGAGAAGATTTGGGGGAGAACTATCTGAACTTAATGTTAAACATGTTTGCTTTGAAGAATCTGTAAGATATCAAAATGGAAATACAAGTAAATAGTTGGTTCTGTGGGCTTGGAGCAAGGAATCTCACCTGGGGTACAGACGTTAAGAATTCTCTTCCTGAAGGAGCTGTCTTCACCCGTTAACGATGCTGTGCCAGTGGGGTGCTGCAACGCTGGAGGATGTAGTCAGTGGAAATTTATGTCTCACAGATTTGGAGGCTGAAGACCCAAGAGCAAGGCCTCAACTCGAGGACTCACTATCTGCTGGGGCCCATTTCCTGGTTACAGGTGGAGTGAGGCTCTCCCTGCAACCACACACGGTGAAAGGCAGGGAGGCTCTCTGGTCCCACTTAGGAAGAATTCGTACTGTGAGTGCTGTGTCCTCAGGACCTGGTCACCTCCTGAAGGCCTCACCTCAAGGGCCGTGGCACTGGCAACTGGGCTTCAGTATAAGAACTTGGGGTAAACATGGATCTCTAGGGGATGGTCATGAAGCCACAGTGTGGGTGAGACTCTATTAGAATTATCTGGGTATATTGTTAAACCAACTCGACCTCAGCCGAAGAAAAATGCCTGATACTATTGTACTTTCAGAGGCAAGATGAGCATTTTGAAGACTTTAGAAATACACTGGTGAATTACTTTCTGGAGAGCGCACCAAAATTTACATTTTTACTTGCTGAGCATGAGAAAGCCCATATCAATGTAGCCTTTCCACACTGAATATTGTAAGTTTTAAAAATAGTACAAGTAGGAAAGTGATCTCATTGCAGTTCTGTCTTGCACAACTCTGGCTGTCGGTGTGGCCTTGGAACTTAGAAAATCACTCAGGACACACATGGTACCTTCTCCTCCTTCACATTTTAAAATAATGTCAGGGTCCTTTGGTTTTTGGTGAAGAAAACCTTTCCATTTTTACACACTTGTATTTTAACATTTATCCTTAGGGCCCTTTAACGCCCCATTGAGTTTTTTCATTGGTACCCATAGGAGGCGGCTCCAGCAGATGAAAGGACTCTTGGTGCATGTGACGCTGGCCTTGTCACATGGAGGAAGCTGCTGATCTTGTCCCACACAGAGTAACATGAATATGTGGCCTGGCACAGGCCATAGGCGGTCTGCATTTGTATGGAGTGTAAGGTAAAAACATGATACTGTCATTTTTGCTGGCCCGAGGCTGCCCTGTGACGTTTTAACATGATAGAGGCTCAGCAATGCTTCTTCTCAGTGTAGGACACAGGTGAATGGCTCTGCACACTGGATGTGACCTAACTGTGCATGGTCCTGTCACATGTGAAAGCCACTGATGACTGAACCAGAGGCTACAGGGAGCTCTGCTGTGTGTCACAATGGCTCATTCTTCTGGCAGCCTCCTTCAGTCAATGACATTAGGCAATTTGAAATTATGCTTTGTCAATGGAGGCTTCAGGGCACCTCCCTGGCCTGCAGTCTCTCTCGCTGGTTTATCGCCACTTCTGCCTCAGCACCCTGCCCTGAGCATCTCAACACAGCGGAGCTGGGCTTCCATCTGGCTGGCTGGCTGTGAAGGAAATGTTTCCCTGTCATAATCCAATTGCACTTCTTAAACATTCACCCTGGAGTTAGTGCATCATAGCTAGAGATGATTCCGGGCCCTGGCATAGCCAGAATATTTGCACAAAATGCTCAGGGGTATCCTAGTGAGGTCAAGGCTCTTCATACCTGAAGGACGCTGGATTTTACAATTTTTAAAATTTTTTTATTTTTTTGAGACCAGCTCTCATTAAGCAATTTAGACTGGCCTCAAGCTACTTTGTAACCTAGGCTGGTCTTGAACTTGTGGCATTCCTCCTGCCTGAGTCTTCTGAGTGCTGAGATTACAAGTGTGTGCCACCATGCCCAGATTTTACAATGTAATTTCACTGTGGATATCATGCTTTAGAGTCCTCTGGTTTCTCTTTGATGGAAAAAGAACAGAACGAGGTGGAATGAGCTTGAGTTGTGAGCACAGCCAGATGCAGCCAAGGCCCTGTGCATCGCTGCTGCCTAGTGGTGAGTCCGGGCTGGACCTGGGGCTGGGCGTGCGGCGGGCAGAAGTGCTTGCTGGGAAAGCCAGCCTGCTGTTTGTCTGCTGGCCGCTGACCCAGAGCAGCTCCACATTTCTCAGGACTGGTTCTCTCATCAGTGAAGTGGGGAAATACGTGCCCTGCAGAGGTTTCGTGAGAACGAGGAAGCACAAGATGCGAGCAGTCACTTAAATGTCACTTCCCTTCCCTTATTCACCAGGGGTGGCCGTGTGGCTTTGTGAAAGGGATTTTCAGCATAGGGCCAGGATGCAGAAGGTGAGTTCTTCATTAATGAGCAACCCAGTTCGTGGATAGCATTGGCTTAGCCACAAGGCTCGGGGAATTGTTTTATGGCTGTGAATTGTCCTTGGCATGGGGCCCCATCCAGCCCAGAGGAGCAGGAAGAGCTGTGGCGGCCAAATGTTCCAGCATGGTTAAGTGCTCCCAGTGCAAATTTGGTATCCAAGAATCAAGTAACTTCATTTGCATATTATGTGAGCCAACCAAGAGTCCCGATGAGGCCAGGTCTTCTGTCTGTCTTGTAAGTGTCTCCCCATTTCTTTTTAGGTTCTACGGTGATGAAAGGAGATGACAAGGCTGAAAGACAAAGAATGATGGTTTGGTGCTCCATGAAAACCCTCTGGCAGTTCTCTGCCTTCCTTTAGCGGGAGATTTTTCACAATTACAGCTACACCATAATTAGAACTTCCCCAAATCACAAATTAGATAGCAGCTGGCTGGGGTTCAGACCCCACTGATGCAGGGCAAGACGGAACAACTCAGCTTAGACATCGTGCACATTCAGTTACCAGAATCAGATCCCTGGTATCTTTGACTGAGATGCGGTCAGCTTAGTCACATTGCTGTGTGTACTTTAAAGAAAAAAAATTTCTTCTAAATTATTTTTAACTTCAGTCATTTATCAGTTCAGACTATGTCCCCATTCAACTTTCAAACCTTTTTAGCCTTTGTCAAAGTTGACAGATGTAATTACTTGAATGTATTTTCCTTTAAGAATTCTTTTGCCAGTGGAAGCTTCTTGGGTTCAACTAAATCGATGGTAAGGTCATGGAAGAGCCATGGGAGCATGGGAAGAACTCTGCCCTAGATTCTAGGGCTGTTACTGACCAGTTTTTTCACACTGGTTACATTAGATCAGTTTTCGAGTCCCCAGTTCCTTAATATTTGGACTTGAGCAAAATAATCTCCATGGTTCTCCTGAAAATTCAAGTTATAGGAACTTGCCTATTGTGTAAACCCAACCCCAAATTCCTATCCTGGAAATTCTGAATCCCTTATGGAATAGTTAGCGTGGGGTCAGAAATTTTCCAACTCTGCTTCTCATCATTTTTTCCTTCTGAAAACTGCCTTTGCTAACAGATTTTTAAATATTATGTTATAGAAACTAATTTTACATTAAATGCAAAGATATTTAGAGAAAAAAGTCTCAAATTAAAAGCATTCTTAAAATGTTCCATATGATAATGGGGTTATTCAATAAACTTGCAAAAATTTTCAACTAATTAAGTATTATGTTTTATAATATACCTCTATAAAGTCTATGGAGCTATGCCTTTTCTATTATATTTAAATTTATGTAAATTGACATTAGTAAGTAAATCTCAAATTACTTCTATTGTATCTTTCAGCATATGATTTAATTCTCAAATTTGTAGTCATATTACATTACAATTTCCTTATTTCCTTCTGATACATTTAAGAAAGTTGATGGCATTTCTCTACCACATTTTTTTGACACATAAGGTAACTTTTACTATTTTTAAGAAATTGACAACAGAAATTCTTCAAGAATTGATGATAAAAGTGATGGACACAATTTGACCACCACTATATGTTTTAAAAAATGAGGTTTAAGGGTTGGGGATTTAGCTCAGCGGCATAAAGCACCTGCCTTGCAAGCAGGCAGTCGTGAGTTCGATTCCCAGTACCGATAAAAAAAGAAAAAGACAAAAAAAAAAAAAATGAGGTTTGAGTGGAAAATCCAGAAAGCAAAAGTCTATTAATAATGACAGGAGGTGGGCGTATGACCAGGTTAGGTAGATGGTTGTGGCAGATATGTGAAATTGCTACAATTCTAAAGAACCACATCCCCAATTTTTGTCACCTTCTCAGCAAAAGGTGGTTTTGTGTTCGGAAAAAGATGTACTGAATGTCGAGCTGAGTTCATGAGGATGTATTCATTCGAGGGTAGGGGAAGATTTCAAAACTAAGAATGAGTATTATTTGTTTTAATCTGAATTTTAGAGAAGGAGATTAAATATTTTTTGCGAGCATTTACCGTCCCCAGGACCAGACATTCTCTCACTATTCACATGCAGGAAGTGATCAGGTGTCCCTGATTCTGTTTCTTTGAGTGCACCCCACGTTCTGTGTTCACGGTCACTGCCTAAACACCTGCTATTGTCCTTTCTTACCCAATGTCTGCATCAGCTTCCTAACTGGTCTGTTTGCAACCCTGAATCTCCACTCTGCCGACAAACTGACCGACCGCCTCTAACACAAATCTGATCGTGCCCTCTGCTGCTATATCACTTCCATGAGTGCACGTTGCCTTCAGAATAGAACTCCAGCCTTGAGTGTTCTTCATCTGCCTTCTCGCCGGCACCTTTCTGCTCTCCAACTTAACCTCTTGGTTATGCCGAGCCAGTTTCACTTCCACGAATCACCTTGTTTTCTCACCGCACCTCTGCAACTGCACATATCGCACTGCTTGCTTGGAATAACTTTCTTCATTTGTGCCAGGAGAAACTCTGACTCATCCTTGAAGCCTCTGCCACTGTCTCCTTTCTTCATTTGGACTCATTTCTGCATCCTGATGTGCCTGGAGCTGCTCTCAGGCTGCGCCAGGAAGACTCCGTAGCCATCGCTTGCTTTCTTCTATCCTGAAAGGTGCATCATTGTCCTCTGATGCAGTCGTCTGTCTTTCTCTGCACTGAGATGTCCCAGACGGAAGACTACCCTTTCCTCACCTTCTCCTCACTGGACTCCACATAATGCCTGACACATGATGGGCATCCTCCAAATGTACAGAGGCACATAATCACTCTGTAAATAGTCTGGGGAGGAAAAGTTTAGCATGGAGTAACTTTAAACTGGGATTAGTTATGACAGATGTTGGTTAAAATGGTTTGTAATATATGGAAGCTGCTTTGACCTGCAGCAAGAAGGCCTAAAGCTGTACATGAGGAAAGAAATTCACAGGAAACACTGTTGACCAAAAAGAACCACATTAAAACAACCATCTTTCCTAGTGCTTTTAAGTTAAGTTTTACAGAGAAAGAAAACCTTCCCCCCAGATCATTTCCTTTATTTCTACCTGTTTGTGATCTGTCCCATTTGCATCCCTCGCGGGGGGCTGGTCCACGTGCACGCCGCATCTTACTTCCTTCTTTCAGCCCTGCCCCTCGTGCTGTCTGTCTCTGGGTCACCTTTCTCTTTGAGAAAAATTTATTGCTCTTCTTCCTGTTATCTACCCTTTATTTTGTTCTTTATTTATATTTGAGCTTCTCATATAAAAGAAACCGTGTGATATTTAAGCTTATGTGTCTCATTTAGTTCACTTAATATTATGGTCTAAGGTGCATCCACTTCTCCACAATGACTGTTTACCCTGGTTTATGGCAGAGCAGTACACTACACTCCCTTGTATAGTGTTTTCTTATCTGCTTCATCTGCTGATGGACATATAGGCTGCTTCCAAGATTTAACTATTATGAATTGTGCTGCTGTAAACATTGGTATTCATGGATCACTGTAATACAACATCTTTAACTCTTCTGGGAACATACTTAGGAGGGGAATAGCTGGGATGACTGGAATTTCTAGTTTCAGTGTTTTGAGGAATCTCCACTGATTCCCATAGTGGTTGTACTAGTTTACAGGTCATAGTTATCACCGGCATCTTAAAATCTTTGGAACCTTATCAATCATATTCAAAACAAAAGAGATTACAAGTGTTTATGCTGCTTCAACACTTTCTGTAGGTTTTTTTTTTCAGAAATTTAATTTTTATTTTCACAGTATGCTTCTGGGAACAATCTAAGTTCCCAGTGACTTTATTTTCATAGGAAGAAATAGCTGGCAAAGCAAAATAGCTTTCCGTAAATGTGGGCACCCAGAAACAGCCTCTGATTCTGTGAGCTTAATTTTCCCATGAGCCCCAGTAGTAAGGCTAAAGCAAGATTGAGAGAAGCTCAGTGTTGGTCCATGCGAATCTGTCTTCCCCTCTCAAAGTCTAGTGGCCGTCTGGTTCTATTTGCAGAGGTGGCAGAGGGGAGGGGTGTTCGGTTCCTGCTCTCATCTCGGTTGTTTCTCAAAGGCTTTTTCAATACAAATGTGAGAAAATGAAGTTGGCTGCTACAGACATCTGAAATTCTGCCCCCGAGTGTGGTAGCACACAGCTCTCTCCCAGAACCAACCGATTGATTCTGTTACTGAAGTTTCAGAGCGTGTTTCATGCCCGTGGTGAGTGCATGTAATGAGTTCTAAACAAATGAAAACATTGTACAAAGTTCTGTGTCTGTAACAGTATATTAAATAATACAGGTAAAAGTAAACGATTTTTACTTTTAGGAAATCTGATTGCTAAGCAAATCCCATGGTTGTAAGTCCCAGGGCAAACGATCATGGCTTTGAGGTGTGCAAAAATGAAAAGCTGTCTGAGCTACCCAGGCACACAGCCTTGAGCGTAACAGTGGAAATGAGGCAGAAAAATGCATTCCAAGTGGGAACAGCGACTGTGTCTGGGCTGCAAGATGACCAACGATTTAAGGTTTTTTTTTCCTTTCATGTCATTTTTCTACATTTTCTGTATGGAACATGCACATGTTTATTATCACAATGTGAACTGTTTTTAGAATGACATTTGAAACTTTCTCCTTCACGATATTGCTCCTGGGACAGCAGAGCTTTGTGTACGTGTGTGCACGTGTGTGTCTGTGTTCGGTGCGAGGGCAGCGAGCGGGCCAATGAGGCAGTGGTGTCTTGGGAAGAAGATGGGTGCAGGAAGGCGGGCAAGCAGCATAGGTGGAAGAAGGTGTTTAATGCGGAAAGGGGACATCGTCGCCAGCTGTTACTCCCAGCTGACTTTTGGAATAGGAATATGGCTCAATAATTAATCCCCCTCAAAGCCAGATATCTAGATTTTTATTTGAAAGTTTCATGCAGGACTGAAGATCAAACCCAGGGCCTTAAGCATGCTATACCATTGAGCTACATCCCCAGCTCTCTTAAAAAATTTTGTTTTTTAAATTTTAAGACACGGTCTTGTTAAATCTTCCAGTCCATCTTGAATTTTCAGTCCTCCTGCCTCAGCCCAAGTTGCTGGAATTACAAGTGAGCACCACTGTGCTGGGCTTAATTTGAAAAAGTTTAGTATTGCAAACAAATGATTCTTTCCAAGATGTCTATAGGCCAGATGTAACTTATGGACGGTGCATTTGAACTTCTGCTTAGGTGTTTTGGTTTATAATTTGATAAGCATCCCTGAGCACACATGACACTGAGGTGCACAAGAGTATCAGTTTGTGCATCACTTGGACAGAGGCTTCTTGTTGTCCAGAGCTGTGCAGAGTGAG